TCTTCCCCTTAATCCATTTCTGGGTCAGGGGGGGTGGTAATCAGAGATGCCACCCAGTCACATAGCACCAGCCAATGTGGTGCTAGATATATGTGTTATCTTGATATAGTAATACAAAAATATATTTTTTTCAAAAAGTAAGGCAGGAAAAATATGAATAATGATGTTTGGTAATCAAAGACAAGATATTTAAAGAATACTTGGATTATTAATGAATTATAAAATACATTGATTTAAAAAGAAAGAGCAAAGAAACGCTCAGCCTGCATGAGATAACCTGGGAAATGAATGCGGGTCATTTTAGACCCATGTTGTGCATTAATAGGGGTGTGCGTATGTTGTGCATCAAAGGGTTAAAAAGCTGTGGTGTCTGTGCAAGTGTTTGTACAGTAAACAGAATATCAGCATGGAGACCGGCCGATTGAGTGGGTGAAAATCTGGAGGGAATAAATGGGCAGTAGCATGCTCTTGGGGGATGGAGGGGCAGCATAGTGATTCCTGAAAGTTGAGAATGCGGAAGATTACGGAAAGTCATTGAGCCGGTTGGGTATGGGTGTGTGGGTGATAAGGTCTAAACTGTGATGACTCGGTGTTCCAAAGTTTTTTGGAAAGATGTTAGTCTCATAACCAAGTGGCATGTTATGAGATGTAAGTAGTGCTCTTTCAACAATCTCCCTCCCTCAGAGAACCTCATAGTTTTGTTTTGAAGCGGTTATGAATTGAAAGTATTCAAATACATGCGAGCAGGGTCTCTTCTCCATTAACGTCTGGCTTTGCTACATTCAAATGTTATAAAACATTTCATATTTCATCAATGCTAGATTGGATGCATGTGTGCTGAGACTATGAGACACATGACAAATACACACATACTTACGGCATCAAAAATGCAAAACCAATTATTTTGTACTGTGACCATGACTGTTAATAATGCGTCCCCAGTGTCTTTACCTGTAGATTCCATTAATTTTTTTCTGCTTTGTCAGTTGCTTTATAGCAGGGGGCTTCAGTTCAAGGAGAGATACCCAATCGGCCTGATCAAGCAGAGCTTTAACAACTATGGGCCCCTGGGTGCTGTACTATGGCCTCTAATGCTGCTTCTTTCAGTGAGCTGTGTGAACTTCTAAACGTGTATAAAAGTTGTAAACAAAAATGTAGTGCCCAATTTGTGCTGCAGATATTGGAATTTTTGCCACCATCATATTTTAAATATTTCTTATATGTTCTATAGTGTTTATGAGCCTTGCACCCCACAATTAGTTGCTCCAGATCAACCCAGAATGGTCGCATTTTTTAGAGCTAACTCTGCTCTATTTTGTGCTGTTGAAATACACATTTTGGCTACTTTGGATTTGGTAAGAAAAAAATAAATATATATGCAGTATATATATATCATATAAATGAATAGCAAAATCTCAAACATTTCTGCAGCACAAATCAGGCCAAATTCAGCACACAAAAAAATAAATAAAATGACACCCCTTTCATACATGTTTTGAAAAAGTGGGATGCCCCCTTCACACAGGTGCTCTACCAGCATTGAAGGATGGATCAAATACAGGACAAATTCCAATGTGGTGTTAATTACAAATAAATAAAATAGCTAACACTATTCTTGCCTTGGTTTCAAAGAGCAGCCTTGACGGAGGGGAACAGGTGTGACTTACTGCCAGCAACGTGAACACAGCTCTGACTCCAGTAAGAGAGATGCTAGATTTCACAGAACATTAACAATGTGGCCACCATGGCTAATGTTGATGTTCTTTTGGAGCCTAGTTTAGCTCAATCTATCTGGAAAAGGAAGTATATTTGCATTGCACAGTCCATAAGCAAGAAAACTCAAAGTGCCTTAGAATAAATAATCCCTTTACATTCAAACAGAGTAAAGAAATCCCTCCGCTGTGTGCGCAGCTAAACAGAACTGTTTTTAAACTGGATTTGAACATTGCAAGAGAATAAGCTGGTTCTGACTCTGGGCACCAGCTGCCATAGCTGCCACCCAATTCCCAAAGCACCAGCACCTTTGCAATTCTCCTGGTGGGGAGTTGGTGTAGGGCTTGTAAGGGGATTGATCCATGAGCTGAGCCATGGTCACCCCATGATAATGTCCAAGTTTGTCTGTGAACAACATAACTGAAAAAGTAACAAGAACGTCTGCAATGGCCCAGTGAACACCTGATTAGATTCTGGAACTGTATGTGCTGTACGAGTGCCTTTCCAGTAAATAACTTGACATTTCTGGTTTTAGAGAATAAATGCTTTTTTAGGAATTCTGAAGCAGACTGGACAACTGTAAAGCTCTATTTGGGATCCTGCTCACTCCACTGGCTGGGCATCTACAAAATTATCCAGAAAACGTCTACCTCACCAACATCCACACACCAAGGTTTTATTGTGAGTTTTTGCTATTAGCACTCTTGTTTCTTGATGTACATGTACTGCATGTGATTGTATTCTTATAATTGGATTACATTTCCCAGTGATAAAATAATAATGCACTGGTTTTATAGAGCGCTTCTTTGGGACACTCAAAGAAGCTTCACATGTCATTATTCATTCACTCCATACACGGTGGCTCCATACACGACCCTTTGGCTCAAAGGCCAATGCTCTACCAACTTTTTTGCAGACGCCTTTAGGCATCTCCAGAGTGAAAATTTCAATCTAACCTACATAATCTTTTCATGCAACTTTGCATATAAGTGGTTTGTAATACAAATGACAACATCTTAATATAACAGTCAAATTGAAATCTTTTAATAAAGATCTGAATATTGTACAGCAAAAGTTCATTATTTTAAAGAAAAAAAATTTGGTCCAACAGTTTGAACCATTCAGACAAAAGTACAACTCAAAAGGGGCTGCAAAAAATAATAAAACGTTCCTTATTTACTCTAATACCTTCGCAAATATATAGATAAAGATTTTCATATTTCAAACATTTATATAAATAGAATATGATTAAAAATCTGGGCATTTATGACAAAGTGCAAAAAGGAAGGTTTTAGAACATATTAATACCTCCATATAATTCAACAGCAACAGTATTGAACAGCTTCGAGGGACTGAGCTGTGACAGGCTGCAGCTTCCCATCGATAACAAATGTAATGTTAGGACATCCATAAGACCTGCAGCTCTACAGAAAACATTATGACCAGTAAACGCAAAACCGCTCCGTAGGCACTAAATGAAATAATAACATTAGCAATTGTATTTGTTGGCCTTACAAATTAACCTATGGCATTTAGCAGCAGGCTAAGGAGATTGGTGGTAACAATTGTCGTAAAGTAGTACAAGTAAGCATTTATACACACAATTCTGCAAGTACCAAGTAAACATGTACTGCATTTACCACGGTTGAAACCAGCTACAGGCTGGAAACATGTGATACACACTTAAAACACCAATAACTTGTCATCAAGGGAAGCACGTTGGAAACATTAACACAAAATAGCTTTAGTCCAATATGTACTTTTTTTATTCAAAGTTGGCCAGTACCTGATGTAACCATCACAGCAGCAGGCAACGGTCCATCTTCTTCTTTGTAACAAAGTTCAACTTATTGAACATATGTTTAAAAAAAAAAAATATTATAAGGTGAGCATGTCCGATTGAGGAAACATTTTAAGTACTGATAACTGCAATAATAAAACTGAACAGCAGACTTTACCGTTTTGGAAGGTAACAGTAGTTCCAGTGGAAGATGAAGTGGAATTGGAATGCGGGGCCCTTCCTTTTTTTATATAAAATAATCTAATCACCAGAGTTTGTTTGTCTGTTAGTCAGCAACCAAACACAAGGTTATTGGCAGATTCATATTGAATTTTAAATTATTCAAATCTAAATCTACAGAGACACTTTGCAATGTAAAAGTAGTTGAACATCAATGCGAAGCATTTGAAATGATTGATTTGTAAAAGGTTCTCAAAAGGATATATCAAAATGATCGTGTTCTTGTGAGGAAGACCAACATAAAAAACTTAGGGCAAAGCTTGTCCTTCTCCCATAGCTCATTTTTTAGTAAAAGGAAAATTATTAATAAATACAAAAATAAAACAGCTATGTACATATTAAAAACTTTCATAATACTTTCAACATTTCTTCAAAATGCCATAGAAATATTTTTGCTTAAACCTTTTTGTCTGAAGCTTTACTGTTCACTTACAAAAACAATGTTCAATGATAATTGTATTTTCTTTTTTACAAAACTTACATCCACCACTGTAGCATTAGGCCATTCAGACATTGTGTTTCAGACATCCACAATCTTCTTCCTATATTGAAATTGGTGAATTGATTACAGAGTCATCTTCCCTAGAGTGGCACTAGCTGTGGAGTCCGTGACAGACAGAGGAAGAGAGAGCGTATAAGTGCACTTTGACCATGGGCATGCTGGGTACACAAAGGCAACAATAGGTTTGTAAAGAGAGGCAGGGTGAGCAGTAGAGATGCAGATAAACAGCAGTTTCAAAAAGATAAAAAAAGGATAAGAGACGGCACGAGATTAGCCTACTGAAGCTGCTTTCTTTCTAAATGAAAGAGAAAAGGGAAGTATATAGTGGCATAGCTGCAGTTCACGGCCTACAGTAGTTGTGCCTTTAAGTCCTTTAAATCACCAAACAGATGTGATTTTCATCTCTAGTTGAGCAGACACGTGAAGTGGTACATGTAGAGACCAAGAATGCTCTGGTTGCGATGAGGCTTTTGAGCAAGGGTTCTGAGGCTGCCTATGTGCAAAATGTCAAGGCAAATTCCCTTTGTAGGCAAGTTCTGACTGATCAGCAGTTTTCTATGTAAAAATTCGCAAAAAAGTGTCCCAACTAAATCTACAATCCTTTCTATCGGATCTCCCAGTGAGTGAGAGGATACAATTGTGACTGTAAATTGAAAGTTGAAGCAGTTTGTTAGTTTGAGAGTTGGTGAGTTGGTGGTGAGTTTGCAGGTCATGGGCAGAATTGAATATTGCAGCTGCCAGAAACCAGGAAACCAAACCAGGAAGCTAGTTGCTGTCAGTGATCTTGACCTGAAAACACAAAAAGGACATAAAGATCAAATCAAGTGAATCAATTTATTTACCCTTATTCCACCAGTCTTGTATGTGCGCTACAGCACCAAAATATTCTCACTGTAGGACAAATGAAGGTTTCTTATCCTTTCTCATGCAGCAGTTAAAATATCAGAGTTTTCTATTGTCCGTAACAGTGTTAGGAGTTATCAGTCACCTCCTGTTTTTCCCGATAACCTTCATTTCTGGAGATCAAACACAGTAAAAAGTGAAAACCGGATCCTTTGCCTATTCAAACGATCCATATCAGAAAAAGATAATTGGTGCTAGAAAATAAAGTGTGTTTCTTATGCTTTCCCAGTCAATTGTTTCAGTTTTGTCTTAGTTTTTCTGAAAAAGTTGTCCACTCGGTGATTTACGAATCCACTGGTCCATACAGTTTCCATTATTGGTAAAATGTTACCTGTCTGGCAGTCTCTGGTCTCAAAGTTGGAATCCCACCGCAGTCATTCCCTTTTCCAAACAGGCTCTCGGCTTCTCCCAGGTGGATCTGTTTGCTGGCTTTCCCTCTGTAAGAGTTCGGGCTGCTCCTCTTTCGACTTTCTGCTTTTCCTCCGTGGGTCGATGGGACTGATGAGGAGGGCAGGAGCTGGTACGGGGCAGCAGCTGTAACCTTAGAGGTGTAGGGCGCACTGATGCCAGCCTCACCACTGTGGAGAAGGACCATTCATTGAAAAGAGAAAACTCTTAATCCATGTAAAATTCCAAAAGTAGTAACACACAATTGGTGCTACTTTGGAAGCTAAAACATTTATTGCCTTTTATAATCATTCAATTATTATTTTTATTTAAAAAAAAACAATGCTCATTATGGAGTCTCTTATTTGTGTTGCCAATTCCTTTGGTGAAATCTAGAAACAGCAGCACATAATTAGTCAAACAAATAGAGCGGTTAGAGCAAAAGGGAAATCTGGGTGAGTTTTTATATAGCAGACAAAACCGACAAAAAATGCAAATTTATAGAATTTTTATCATCTGCATAAATTGTCAGTAGCTGCGTTTCCATTGAATAATTCGCAAAAACTTTTTCGATACATTTCAAAATTCGAAAAACCTGTAATTCGCAAAAGCGGCCGTTTCCATTAAGACATATTCGAATAAGTATACACTATTTTCGCGCGTTTATTCACTAGTTTCTAGTACGTCAACATGGCAACAGAAGTAAACAACACTTTGATTTACGTGAGATATATTAATGTCTTGACTTCTGCTGCGGCTCTCATCCTCTCTGACCCCGGGAGAAACTGTGGCTGCTTTGACAGCTCCGCAAACGCGCGTGGTCATGTACCGAGCGCAGACCATAGACGCGCGCACAGAACCATAGACACGGGTCTTGCCTGTCTCCCCCGTCTCTCCCCCATGCCTCTCCCCCGTCTCTCCCCCATGCCTCTCCCCCGTCTCTCCCCCATGCCTCTCCCCCGTCTCTTCCCCATGCCTCTCCCCCGTCTCTTCCCCGTCTCTCCCCCATGCCTCTCCCCCGTCTCTTCCCCGTCTCTCCCCCGTCTCTCCCCCATGCCTCTCCCCCGTCTCTCCCCCATGCCTCTCCCCCCATGCCTCTCCCGCGTCTCTTCCCCGTCTCTCCCCCGTCTCTCCCCCATGCCTCTCCCACGTATCTCCCAAGTCTCCACACGAAGCGCAGCCAAAACTCACTGAATAAAGCAGCTCGGCTTCCTCCGCTATATCGAAATAAGTGTTTCCATTGCCGTTTTGCGAAAAACTTAATTTCGATACGTCCAAAAAACCACCTATTTTAAGCGCATAAACTTTTTATCGAAAAACTGTGGTTTATTCGAAATTTGCGCGTTTCCATTAGACATTTTATGATGCGCAAATTCAAATTTCGAAATTTGATACTCAATGGAAACGCAGCTAATGAGCCCTTTTCCAGATATTCTTCTCCTGCTTGTATTGGAATCCTGCAAACTTTGAGTGTATTCATGTTTTATTTCAAGTCACCAGTAGATGGTGGTCCTGACACCGCTGGAAATAGGAGAGCTGCATTTTCATTCACTACTTGTTCTAAAAGCCTTAAAATGACAAAAAATATGTTTCTGTTAAAAACCATATAAAGCTATTTCAAATGATAATAATTATAGATCTAGAATAAAGTTGATCTTGTGTTGTATTCCAAAGTGTTGGAGAAATAAATCAAGATGATGATCAAGCCTAATGCCACACTGACACAATATCATAGTTTATTGAACCTCATTTCCTTAGAGACGAAGGAAGCTCACCCAAATAAGTCATTTCTTAAATTTTTTTTTGGTAAAATAAAAACAACAGACCTTTTTATTGAGTGGTGACTTCTTTCGGCTCGAGACATCCAGCTCTCTGGTCCACTCGACAGCTCTCTGCTCCCACCCCCAAATTTCTTTCTGCGATCAGGTAGGGAAACAGCTGCCCCTGCACCTTGTAACTTGGGATGATGAGTGTCACCATTCCTTTGTGGATTATCAACCACTGGAAACAAGGGAGAAGGAGAGTGGAAAGAGGAATTTTTCCTCTTCTTGGATCCCACCAGAGAGTCTGCCGTCACTTTGGATTGACGGTTTACTTTGTGCATGCCGTTGCATGCTTTGCCCTGTGCAGTTTGTGTGTACGAAAGGGGGATGTCCCGAATATTGAACACCCCTGTAGTCTGGGGGAAGGTGGCGATATAGGAGTTTGATGGAGGTGTGGAGACAGGAGAGCTGCCGGAGAGCGGGGATGCAAGGTCAGGCTGCTGGGACAAGGAGGAGGAAGAAGAAAAAGAGGGCGTTTGGGGGCTTTCCGCTGCAAGTGGCACTTTCCTATGAGAGATAAAGGAAAATATAATTACATCCAATTCATTTTTTTATTTTCAATTTGATTTTGCCCTAAATCACAACAGTTATTGCGGAGGACTTTACAAAGTTGTTGATTTGCCAAATATAAAAGAACTGGTTTAAATTACAAACCAAATATAAAACACACTTCTGCATAGCACATATGTAAGCTTAGGACATAAAAAACACTTCAAGCATTATTAAAGTTTTAAGACAAGGGTGTCCAAAATCTTTTGTTCCGGTGATCTTCAGAATCAAGCAGTGTCAAAAAAAATATATAAAAAAAATACAACTCAATAAAATAAAAATCACAGGCACTCTTGCATAAAAGTAAATAACATTCCTATAATAAACAAGGACTAGCTTTCACCTTCAGGGCCTTCTTCAGGGCATGTTTAGGGTGTTTGAACCGTTTAATTATTATATAACATAGTTCAGAGAATTAAATGTAACATGTAGGACCAAAAGTGGCTGATACACGTAGAGTAGTCCCTGTTTATAAAAGGATTCATATTTCACTGATAAGAGTACCACGGATTTTTGACTTTTCCAAAAGGACAACATGTCATGGTTAACAATTCTCAAGTTTAGAATTGACCTTATATTTTCATATCCATCTTTCTGATCAAGACTGAACAGTAAAGCCAACTTTGGAATAAATCTCTAACATAAGGTCTTTTAAACAAGGACCACATTTCAGTTTTTGCACCTCCACATCTGTGAGTTAAGATGTTTTTCCACGGTGTTCTGTAAAGCCAGCCTCATCCTGTCCCATCGCCGGTCAAACACATAGTGGCCCCGTCCCATTAGTCGACTGTTGAATATGCACAACTGGCAAGAAAAAAAAAACATGTCACAACAAGAATGTGCAAAATAGTCCTTTAATGCATTCACACAGCTGTGTCAGGTTTATACACAGGTTTTTCTGTGCTGAGACGATGTGCTTATAGAGTCAGACACAGTGTGGAGCTGCAGTTTTGCAGTGTGTCACATAGGCAGTTTTGGAATCTGCCTTCAAATGAACAGGAATCTAGACACTTGAATGGGCTGTGTTATTTAAAAATGGAGACAAAATGGAGAAAAAAAGGGCAGGAATTTAAATTATATGCTTTTTTGATTATACTTCCATCTTTTACCTAACCAAAACCCAATAAACTCATCTGTAATTTGGTTTTTAAATATGTTCTTATTAGAGGTGCAACGGTTTATCAATGATCCGTTCAGTTCAACGTCTTCGGTTCGGTACAGACGTGATCCGCGGTTTGATTTATGAAAAAAAAGTTGTGCGCACGTTCAGTCCACACACAGCGTGGTCACGGCGAGCGGAGGAACGGAGGAGCTTGAAAGCCCTGCGTCATTTAAATCCCCTGTATGAGAGCATTTTGGCTTCACTGTAACTACACTGATAATTTTAATATTCGACAAAACTGTCCCAGTGTGTAAATACTGTGGCAAAAGAAAGACATGAGTGAAAAAAAGCGTCTCAATGACCGCTTATTGCCGTGGCATTTAAGCAGCTCCTTTACGCACAGTCAGACCGGGCTAAAGTCAACTCTCCCGCGCATCCTCAGCTGCGCTCACAACTGACGCTTGGACGTCCCGCGAAATCTATAATAGATCCATGAGCGGAACGGAGAACTTCATCACCGCAGACTGGGAGATGAAAAGTCTGGCGCTGCAGACACGCCCCCTCTACGACAGGCACACAGCGCAGGTTCTGACACAAGCAGCGGAGGGATGGAAGACAAAGGCCCAGTACTAATATTCCAGTCACAACTGATAATGCCAAAAATTTAATAAATACAGTGAATGAGGTTGGACTGGGCCCAGAATGGACCCCCTCCTCGGGAGAATCAGGAAGGTGGTTTAATATATGAGGCTAAATACCCTCATAAAGTGCCTTCTTATGTTGCACTTTGTGTTGTTTTTCACTGATTATGTTAAAAAGAAATAATTTGATGGATGGAATAAGCCTTCCATCCATCCATCCATTTTCTTCCCCTTAATTCATTTCTAGGTCAGGGGGGGCAGTCAGAGCAGGAGCCGAGACCACATGAGCAGTGTTTATTAAGACAAAACTTTTTTTTTGAAAAATGAACCGAACCGTGGCCTCTGAACCGAGGTACGAACCGTACCGTGATTTTTTAAACAGTTGCACCCCTAGTTCTTATATATGCTTCAAAACGGTCGAGAATATTTGATATTTCAAGTTTTATTATGTGAAACAATTTCTTCAGAAGAAAACCTGAAGTATTGCATAAGCGATGACTAGAAAGCAGAAGACCTCTTAAACCACATCTAGTAGAACAAGTGGGAACATAATGAAAGCAGTCAAAACACATTTAATTTCTGAAGGTCCCAGGCAAAGCAGTAACATAACGATCACTGAAATACTGTCATATAGGTGTTCAAATGGGACTTACCCCCAGTGGTTGTGGATGGTGCTTGGAGAAGTGAATGGCTGCTCGGTCTGCCTCCTCTGGTGGTTCTGCGTCTCCTTCGTCACTGGAGAGTCGTCCTACATCTGCAGCTGAAGGAGGCGGCTCTGGGTTTGGGGCTGAGGGAAGAATGGCCGCAGATGCAGAGGCTGTGGAGGCAGTGGAGCCTGGAGCCCTGGGTCAAAAATCACAGTTACATTTTGGCCATAATACATGCAAGCTCAAGGAAGACAAAAACATTTTGAGTTGGTAAACACATTACGAACAATTTCTCATTTGTAAAGGGCACAAATGTTTCATTTTATTTTTTCAGGTCATTTATTATAAAAGTAGTGTTGTTCGGATTGTCGATTTATAAAAACCTTATTTGACTATTATGCTTCCCTAGGATATTGAGTCATTGCTTTTCACCACTAGACAGGAAGAAATTGAGCGGTATGAAAAGGTTCTAATTTATGATGGGAAATGTATTTTTTTTTTTTTTTTTTTTTAAACCAAAGATTAATGGGGAAAAATATGATAAATTTTTCCCTTAGTCCTTAATGAAACGTTCCAAGTTTTATACTATTGAAAGTCACATTGTTTCACATTTTACAGTGAATTTGGTGACAATAAAACTTAAGACAATTTGTCAGGGTAAAAACTTAAGTTATCTGCATAAGCAGGTAGAGGGCTATATGGCTATAACTTTACTGTTGCAAGATGATATAGGAGCTGAACCGCTATACCTGGGTATATGAGCATTGGCCAGCCGCAGTTTCAAGATGGACAGTGGTCTTCCATTGGGGCAATGAGGCTTGCTGGAGCTCTGCTGTGACGTGGTACTCTGGCTTAAATCGTTTCGCTCATGTGTTGCATCTTTCTCCTTTTCCTTTTCTTTCGGCCCATCCTTCTCCTTTGCGCGGCTCTTGTGTTCCGCTAAGAGAATGTCAAAATTGGTTGTTCTTCCTTGGACAGCCCGGCGTTGAGTTAAGGAATGAGACTGGAAGAGAAATTGAAGAGGTCAGAAGCCGATTACCATTTGAATCTGAAAATGAAAACTGACTAGACCAGACTTGGGCAAAGTGCGGCCCGGAGGCCAAATCCAGGCTGATCCACATTCTACGTGGCCTCCATTTTCCTCATCTCTATGAGCAGGTAACAGTTGCAGAGATGATGTTTGTTGTGTTCAGTGGCGTTCCAAGGGTACCCCGGGGCCCCAGGCAACAGAGTCATTGGGGGCCCTGATACCGCACATAACTACATAAAAAGGTTTATATTATAGTAGGTATAAATATATATTTATAGTCTATATAAACACCGAGGGCCAAAAGAAAGATTAGGCTCTTAGCTTTAATCTGCAAAAAACGGCTTGTTTTTACCTTTTACTGTTTTTGCGCAATCGGTCATAAAATATATGATATATAGTTTAACCCAAAATACAGCTCTCACCCGGATTTGTACCCGGGTTTTTAGCCACCAACTCGTCACTGTAGGTAGCTGTTGTAGCCTGTACTAGTCTACCGCTTGTGTCAAATCAGTCAGCCCTCGACGGCCCCCTGCCGGTTTGGGGGCCCCCCAACCTGAGATGTTGCTGCAGTACAGTGTTCATGGTTTTACACTGGTCCAGACCAGAGCAAAGAGGATTAATGGACCGAACCAAGTGGATCATGCATTGGCAAGGAAAAACTCTAAAAACCTACTGGGAAAAAGTGAAGCATGGAGGGAGGGATCCACTACCAGGAACAGACGGGCTATAAAGATTCAGGACTCAGGCTGTAGAACGAGAACAGAGGCCACACAATACAGGACTGAGGCAGCTCCCAGGCGGTTAGGGGTGTTCCAAATACAACAAACCATACTCTAATATAGCATTACATCTTCATCTCTGCGCTGTACACCAAGTCTAAACCTGTTCTGTCAGGAGTTTCACGTAAAGATTTATCTTCAGTCGTCTAAGTGACTAATTTGTCATCATTAAAACATTGACTGAAACATTGTGCCATGCCAAGAACAAGAAACCTCCTCTTCACTTGAATTCAATTACTAAGTTCCGAGAGATTAGGAAAATGCAATAGGAAGTAATTAAAGAGCAGAATGAGGAGAATATTATTGCTCAAAGATGCTGCGGCCTCGTCCAACAGCTATAATTACCACATGAAGCCAACTGTAGTACTGCGTTAGTTCAGCGTGGCTAGCCTGTTTCAACCAAGAGTCGGGAAGCAAAAAAACATGGACACATTTTTTTCTTTTTTACAAATCAATGACAATTAAGTTAAAAAACTAAGATAATATCAACAAAAGCAGGACTTTTTGCACTAAACATTTACTTTGAAAACACTATCCGAAAAAGAAAAGAAAACAAACTTGAACTGATGAAAGCTATAACAGGCAAAAAGTCATGCAATACATATTTTGGACATCTTTATTTTGAAATGTTCAGATTGTAAACATCATCATTGTATATTGCAGCCCAGTCACTATTCATCATCTCAAAAGGTTAAACTTACCTGCACTTCATTTATCAAAGAAAAACAAAATGGAAGAATATCTTGGCTATTTGAGATGATGGGTTATAATATGTGTTAAAGCACATTTAACAGAGGCTTTCTGCACAGTTGCTTTCTTTTTGGAGGACTGAAAAATATAAATAATCCTCGTGAAATATGATGCATGTATGTGTGCTTTACCTTGCAGGTCAGAGAGCGTGTGCAGGATCGCTTCGTCTCCGGATCTGGGACTCCACAGTGCTTATCTGGATCGAACACTCTTCCTACGAAAACAAAAAGACATCATTTTAGAATGAAGAATAGTTTGTGAACTTTACCTTTTTACAGGTATAACTGACCAGTCCAAAACAACCTAGGATATAACCACACACACATCAGATCATGCTGTATTGAATCACTTATTTAGTGTGACTAATATTATATATATATATATATATTTTTTTTTTTTGTACGAATTTCTGCATGTCTATATTATTGTTTAATAAGGTAGTCTCAAAGCAAGATAAAAATTAAATTATGTTCTGCACTGAGTGGCTTGTAGTCAGCAGTTTAGCATTTAAAATAGAGGCACTGTCAGACAACTATAATCTACTGCTGCCCTCTGCCATAATCCCTGTAATCTTTCTGTGTTTGCAGAATGAGACACCTCCCAAGGTTACAGAATAGTCACCAGCAATCTGAGTGCATCCAGAGCTTTCAAACCTCCATCATTACAAAAATCATTAAAGTTTGAAATTCAAAATAAACCAGAAAATTCCAAGAGGTAAAATATGGGTACAACAGGAGACTAAAATTAATTTTCACCGGGACAGCAACCCATATCAGAAACTAGGAGAGACAAAAATACTCATACCAGAAACAAGGAGAGACACAAATGCCAATCAGTATTTGAGATTGAAAAATTAAGTTGAAGAGAGAAGCAGCAGCTGAATGGGAGTGTAGCTCAGAACAAGAATGCAGAAGTACACCAACAAACAGAAAGTAAACTCTGATAGGAAAACACTTCCTTCAGAAATGTAGATGTTTATACCATAAATATTCGTTAATTTACTGTTCATACTATTAACACTCCCATCTCCATGGTCATGTATTTATACAGAGAATTCAAAATTTGCTTTTGAAAGGTTTAACTATTAAATTGTAGAATGACATATGGATGGATAATATCCGATTCAGATTCATTTATTTGCCATTTGCAGTAAAACCACATTGGAAAAATATAGATAAAATATATAATAAATAATATAGGTACAGGATACAGTATATGAATATAGTATAGGTATAGGACAAGAATTACATTTTGATGAACATCAAAGCTGCAGAAAACCGAGTGTGCCACCTTATTGGAGAGAAAAAAAGAGGTGGTACATCACACTTATAATATTGACATGTGCTATTCCACCAAATAACCAGTTTTTCAGTTGACTCTTTGAACATTTTGGAAGATCGGATTATGTCTTTATCAATGCAGGTCTTTTTGGATGTGGAGAGAGTGGAAAAGGAGATGGGCATGGGAGCTGGTCTCAGACTGGAGTGCAGCCATGTACCACTTCAATCCAAGGTTTTAGGGCCAATAAAAAAGCAATAACACATTCTTATTACATTGAAATGAAGATTTTGCTGATATTTTCTCATTATGCACAGACCTGGTGTGCAGAACTTAACTGAAGTTATTTATTGAGGCCGCATAGAATGTGCTCTAAAGTTTGGGGGCAGAAAAGTTTATACAGGCGTAGGGCAAAAAAATTGACCAATGCTCCTTTCCTGCGTTTGCCGCAAGCATCGAGCCGGTGCACGCACCGCCTCTGCCGCGCCACAGAAACGCCTCTGCTGCGCCACAGAAACGCATCTGCCGCGCCGGACAAACGTGCAAGTCGCACATGGGGTGCCGCTACACGCATGCGAAAATTCCCACCAACGTACATTAAAGTCGGGCAATGCTGAACTTCAACCGCACTTTTAGGCGTCAACCAATCAGAGAGCAGCACTGAAGGAAAACTTCATACAAGAACTGAACCACGTCTGAACCAAGACAGAAAATGCAAGTTATCGTGCTAAGTGCCTTCAACCTGAGCAGTTCATACTCCATGTTCATACCACTTTCATGACTGGGAAAAAAAAAGAAGAACAGTTAGCATCTAGTACTGGAATTATTTGGACAATAATTCAATATCACACATTGGGATCCTGAAATAGCGTGGAGGGCTGGGCCCATTTTCACATGGTTATCATACAATTAAATGAGGAAAATAGTATTTGATAAAATCAAACAACAAGTGAAAGCTACAGTAGTTAAACATGTTTAACTAATATATTTACGATATATTATATTAATACAATATATACAAAATCAAAAGACTTATACAGCTCAGTCCACCCCTCATTATTTTTTTCTATATATATATTTTTTTTCTTCAGTGCTCCTTCAGTACTACCTTGTTTCCCACTATGATCCATTTGTTTCAATCCAAATACAACTGAACAAATGCATGTAAAGGTACATAGTCAACCATATGTAAAAAGTGGTTATTTTTGTGTATTCACAGATGCAAATGATGAGCTATAAACAAACCTTCCTCAAATTTAACAAAGCCTATTCAAAAGGATTACACAGAGGTGGACACCCGTTATCCCGGTCCAAACCATCCAAACATACCTGACAGCCTTTTGTGCGGCCTGGCTGCTGATGTTTTGGTTCCATTTTTGTGTTTCTTTTCCAGTGTTAAAGGTGAAGATGAGGGTAAAGCGCTACATCTTTGCGAAGGGGAAGGCACTGGTGAGGGTTTGCGGTCAGGCTGAGAGGGAGAGGGAGTGGAGGGGGGCAGTCTGTCCAGAGGAGAACGCGCTGGAGTATGACGGCCATCCAGGGAGGACGGGGAGGTGCTGGAGTGTGGGGTTGCCGGCCCACTACTACCCCTGCCATTGAGGAGCTTTTCAGAAGAGCGCTGAGAGGAAGGAGGCGTGAGAAAAGAGGCTTTGTGGACTGATGAGGAGGAGCTGAGCCGCATGTGGGACATTGAGTTGGTCCGACTGAGACAAGGTATTTTCTCCAGACTGACCACCGGAAGAGACACACTGCTGATTACAATGGAAAAACAATCAGAATAAAGTTTTTTCACAATACATTTACATTTTAAAGATTTACTGTAGGCCTCACTCGGGCTGCATGATTTTTGAAAAATATGCAATTGCAGTATTTCTGACCAATTTGGATTGTGATGTGAATGTTTTGATAGCTTGCATGTTTAAAAAGTCATAGGGCCCATATTCTTTCTCTAGTATTAGATATACAGTATATATATATATACACACACACTGCTATATCGACAGTCCGAGTCATCGCAATATCTTAAAACCAATGAATGAACATATGCAATAAACAATCTATTAAACTATATTTCCTTGCACCAATTTGGAAAATGACAAAGCGCTAAATAACACATCAGAATATAAAAAGGGTTAGAGTCTTCACCATGATTTGCTGCGTGATCCCTTCGGGGGGTAGACAGCCAGTGGGGCCTTGGTGAAGCGCGAGTGTGGGTAGTCTTTGGGCACCCTGAAGGCCATAGTGTCCCCCGGCATGGGCTTCACTGTCGTGGCCACAGCTGGGATTTTGGGCTTCATCGGAATGAGTGGACTTCGACATGGAAGCGGGGAGCCATGGCGCTTTTCTGAAAATCCAAGAACAGAAATGATTAAAAAACACCTAAATTAACAAGCTACACAACCTCTGCAAAACATCTCCCGTTTGCATTCATTTCAATTTGATTTCACACCTGAGTCAAATACTTGGAAAGGCAGTTGTGTATTTCCACCCACTTGTGATTGATGAAGCCAGATGGTCATGTTGTAACAGAAGACAAATGTAGTGCTAAAAAGCTTTTACAAATAGAATTCAGTATTTTAAAATCAATTGGGCATGTTAATCTATCAACTTGTCTGACACATGCAAAGTCTGTTACTACTCGGGGGGGAGAAGAGTTAAGTAAAGGTTTTTAATATTATTGTGGTAGTCCCTGCATGTAAATGCCTGATCCTGACAGATCTCAGAGGCTAAGCAGAGCAGGGCCAGGGTAATACTGTGATGGGAAACTTGTTGTGTCTCAGGGCAAGACATGGGTCCGTCCCAAGACCTTTTAGATTTTTCTCTTATGCAAGGTAGAGGTGCTCAATGAGTCAATCTCAATCGACCGGTCAATCGCAAAGGCAGGGTGGGTAGCTCACTTGAAATTTCGGAGTTCAGACACAACCTGTACGCTTGCAAACACGCGTATGTGCTAGCATAAAAAGTCTGAAGACGGTACGAGCGCCACTTGCACACAGGATAGAATGTCATAAGCGCTTCCCCATGGAGTCTGTGTGCTTGACCGGTTTCATCCTCCACAGTTAACGCACGTGTCATGATTGACGGAAATCAAGGGCGAACTCAAGTCAGATCACGACTGCAAGCATGATTGTTGTTCAACGCGTTTTGATGGTGCATACTCAAAAGAAAGAACAGAATACAATAAAAAAAATGAATGGACTTGAAGTCTGGAGCAGGAGTCTGGTGTGTGCATGTGTAAATGGTGGGGGGGTCAGGGGAACCAATGGCACAGATTTGTTGCCTCACTTGAGTCAGTCTTGCAGTAGTTTTCAACCACAGGGTATGAAGTAAATTAATAACGTTGAGTGAGACGTCTTTGAATGTCATGAAAAGCGTTGTATTTTGAATTGCTCTAGACAAGACACAGAATCTTAACAGAGATTGGGATTCAGATTCACTAAAACAAAGTTTGAAGAACAACTGAGGAGAGAGAGTAGATGAGACAAGGAAACACTTACGGTTCTTACTATGCATGTTTCTTTGAGGGGGTGGGGCAGAGGGGGACGGGGAGGTGGTCCGGGACTGAGTCTGTCTGTTCACAGGGAAACTACACCCCAACTACCTGAAGGAAAACACGCAGGTTATCACACATAATACAATGGAGAAAGTATATTCAGCAAAAACTTTCAACCTTCAGAATTATATTGTGAGGCATCAAAAAGGACCGGTTTTTACTTAGAAACGTCCAATATTCAAAAAAAAAAACTTTCTGCTGCATGCTAACATTCACACTTTGGAATACGTTGAGACAATTCTGTAAATGTTGTGTCATTTGCAGTATTTAAAGCAGTAAACTCAATAAAAAAAACAAGTGATCCCAGTTAGACTATCGATGTTCAAATTATCGGGTTCTCCATACTCCATGTTCATAGGAGGACAGCAGATTAAGAGCGGAGAGGACGGGAGGACTTGTATAGGTGCAAAAGGTCACTGTGAGGGGACGAGGTTATGGAGAAAAGGGAGTTTGAACTGGATTCTGTAGTTTATGGGGAGTCAAAGGAGATGAATAAGAAAGATGTGATATGTTGATTTAGTATGGATGATAATAGTAGCAGTGGAGCTATGAACATGTTGGAGACGTTTGATGTGTTTTTGAGGTAAACCAGTGAGAAGTAAACCAGTGAGAAGCGTTACAATAGTCTAGACGTGAAGTGACAAATGCATGAACAAGAACTTTAGTGGAGTGTTGGGTGAGAGGTTGGCGAATTTGGGAAATCTTGTATGGTGGAAAAAGGCTGTGCAAGTGGCATTGTAGATAAGAGCTATAAATGAAAGAGGAGTCCAGAATAAATACAAAATATTTTGTCTTTCAACCATAAACTGCGGAAAATAAAAGAATGACATTCACCAATATTGTCAAAAATAGAAAAAGAAAAAAAAACAGTGGACAGATGTAGTTACAAATAACCTTAACCTCTGTAAATGAGTGCAGCAGTGTCCAAACAAGTCTGCTGCTGGGCTGACAGATTGTGCAAGTTTGCTTTGGAAGAGCATATTAAAGAGCTTCAACTGACTGCCTGTGATTGTGAGCGACATAATTGTGTGCGGGACAAGCAGCGGACTGTCATATGCGGTACATGTAGCATCCAATCATGAGCTAATAGAATTCTGTGTATGCATTAGAGTTTAATAGCGGCTCATGAAGTGATGGGAAGTGGAGGGAAAATAAGGATTTGTAACTATATGTAATGTTTTCATTTTGAATTACAGCTACTTATATACAAGGTCTCCCGATACTAGGTCGACATGTGCAAATCATATTTGGCCTAATTAGTCATGAGGCCTTTATATGGGTTGCCAATTGCTTTTTTTCTTTTTTTTTTAATAACCAAATTCACAAACTAAAACTAGCACCAAACATGCATGAAATTAAGTTAGAGAGGTAGTCATACATGATACGAGTTGGTTTTGTTTTTAGCAAAACTCAGGAGGTGGATTGCATCAGTAATCAGAGCTGAGGTAAAACGTGTCACAAGCAGGAGGATTCTGGCAATAACCGTTGGATTGTAATCAGACTTTATTTAGACCACCAAGAGTGCATATTAGATGCAGCTCCTTTAAAAGTATTTAAGTTAGTACACTAACTTGCAGTAATCTAACTTGATAATGAGATGAATATACAGCAGCCACCAAGACTTTCTCAAGAAAACAACCATATTGATTTTACTTTGCACATTAAACTACTAATTATTTTAGTTCAACTATAGGTTGTACAGTCTAATTGCCCGTACATGCCACATGTGAAGCGTAGGGACTCTCATAGCAAGGCACCTAGGGTGCCGTGAGGCTGATTTGAAAAGCGCGCCCGTGTTATCGGCAATAATAGGAGCCTTGCATATTTTTGCCCATGCAGACAGTGATTCTGGACATTTTTTTTCTTTCATGAAGTCTGTCTGACCACACCAGCCCAGAGAGACAACGAGGTCAAACACATACATGTGGATTTTGCTGCTATAGGCCCGTAGTTCTCTGGCCAATTCTGTCACCCTACACTTTCCCATAGACTACTCAAGGAGCGCAAAACTCTAGCCGTGTCTTTGCCAAAGTGGAAGGGGCGTAATTGTGTTTCAATGAGACCTTTTTGTGCTGAAAAAAACTCCAGAAAATATTATATTAAAAGTATTAGGACAAAATAAATGTCCTAGTCTTTAAGTGGTACACAGCATGGCAACATTAAGCTCAAAGACAGAAATGTTCCATACCAGATTATTTAGCTAGACAGCCAATTTGTTTTGACACCCATGCTCCCTATCAAAAGACACCTCTCCATCACATATCAAGTTGTGTTTCTTTCTTTCAACCAGTGGAAGGCTGCAGATTCATCCGCATATCGCGGAATTTGAAAAGATTATTGCTAAGTAAAGTCGGTAAAGTAAAAACTGTGAATTAGGGATGTCACGATTACCGGTGTAGCGGTAAACCCTAGTAAAAGAAATGACTTCCATATCATCCTAATACATTTTTTTTATCTTGTTGGATTACCGCGCCCTTTGTGTACGCCACCGTGAGCCTTTCATGCTAGAATCATGACCGAAGCCCTTAGGCATTTATCAAACTCAGAGTCTGTAGTGTGGGCATATTTTGGATTTTTAAAGCATGCAGAGATCTGATGACATCTGATGTAAGAAAGCTAGCCTGTCCGCAGATTGTGCAGGAAAAAAGTTTCCTGCCTAGCTGCATATTAGCAGCTAATATGCTAAACTAAACAGGTAAACAGTAAAAGATGAAATGGTGACATGAAGATAGCATTATTGAGCTCTAGATTGAGCGATTAGTTTGTTTTGACCATTTTAGTGACAATCACTACGTGATATTTACTTTGTAGATCCCTGTAAGAGAAATTCACGTGTCCAGTAGCAGCAAAGACACATCTATCCACACAAACAAAAAAAATAAATTGATCAATCTAAAAAGCTAACAATAGTAAATACAAAACAGAACTTCAGGTGGCGCAGTAGTTAGGCGGAGCAGGACGGGTCACGGCAGCAGAGATGGTGGAGCCCCTGGATGGATTGTACATGTGGTACAAGTGGTGGAGTGGTTGGTTCAAAACCATTTTCTCTGCAAAGTAAAATACTAAAATGCTTTGTTAGAAATCTTTTCTCCAGTGGATTTTTGCCTAATCCACTTTTTTCGGACAATGTATCCCCTCCGCTCCGGACCAGCACAAAACCATGAACACTGTACTGCAGCAACATTACAGGCAGAAAAAAAGCAAGTAAAACAAAAACAACCAACTGTTTCAGAGCTACTTAGGACTTGCTGCCATTTCAAGTGCATTCAAAAGTGTATTATAATTAACATTCACTTAACCAATTTTTTCTTGCAGCTAACATTTCACTTTTTTGAAATTATTTCAGTTTGTGTAGGACTATCAATGCTTTCTGAACATATTCCCTGGACTTAAAATTTTTGCAGGATCTACAATCTTGACAACAAAGACTTTTTCCCGATACCTCCAGGTCCACTACTACTTGAACCAAAATCATGTAGACCATACAAATCAGCTTTTGGGATTAATGACAATATTCATAAGAATATACCAGCTAGGACCAAACAATAAATTAATTTCTAAACTATATGATGATCTGCAAAAGTTTTAGGGCGAAAATGTACTGTACATTAAAGAAAAATGGGAGAAGGGGTTATCTCTACATGCAAATGGGAAAATGGGTCATAATCCATGTGAATGTATGGAAAAGCACATAATCCCCTGTATGGAGAGTTTCCTAGAGCTGATACTTCATGTTGGAGGTTATGTGGAGCCGAACGGGCTGGCTATTACCTATATTCTGGAGTTGTCCA